AAATTTTTGGATCAAATATAGTATAGGTGACACCTACTCGAAATCAATTGATTATTTATTAAGGTGTCACCTATACTTAGTGGTGTGATTCGTTGATCGGCAATCCGGATAACTATTTGAAATCCGTATTTTTGTGTAATCCGTATAATCCGTATAAACTGTTCAATCCGTACGGATTGATCTACAATCCGCATATTTGAATAGTTCTCACGTGCATCCGTACAAACTGTTCAGTTTTTGAGTTTAACAGTTGATCTGCAATCCATCGCACCACTAGTTCAAAGTTTATTTAACAACTAGAGATGCGATTCGGATATCCGCCAGTTTAATTTTATAACAAAATTATTAAATTTTAAATATGAAATCGAATAACGGATCGCATCTCTACTGTTATGTTCTTCGCTTGGTATTTGACAATCAGTGATTATTAATTCATCAGACCGGCAAAAAATCTAACAGATGAAAAACAAAAAAATAGCATAAAAATGAATTTAATTCAATCAGTTTGATAATTTCGAGCCTTTAGCATTTTGCTTCTAGCACTCACATTCACAAGGTAATTACATTTTTTTATTAATTTTACATTTTTTAATTTTTATCGATTGAGAAATAACGCACGTACGTAGTTAGGAATGACTTAGGCCAACTTGAAATTGCGAAATGACGCAGAACGGTATAACCATTTTTGTCGAAATACATCAAAAATGTAACCTTTGTATCACCTTCCGTAGACAATAAGCTATTTATCTTAAGAAGCGACTGCCTGTTACGCAGTATCAGCCATCTCTAATTATGGATCAAACTTTATTTATATGTTACGATTGTTACATATAAAATCTCATAAATTGGGGGTGTCAATAAAATTAAGAAATTTTTTTTTGTTTAAATTGATTTTTGTATTTTCAAAAGAAAATACAGTATAAGTCAAATTTTATTACTTTATACGCAATGATATTTTTAAAAATTATTATAATTTTTATATTTCTTTTTAACTCTTTGCATGAAGTTAAAACACAAAATTGTTCTGCAAGTAAACGTCAAATAGGAAATGAAACAACAATTTATGAACGTCGAGCAGATCCATCAGGTCTTAAGTTTGGACCTAAAGTAATAGGAGATTATAAATTTAAAATCACCAACAAACATAAAGATTCAGGAATGTGTGGTAAATGTGATTGTAAAAAAAATCATTATAATTTTCATATTGATAAGATTAAAGATAAGCTTAGAGGTACTTATAACGTGTACCGTAATTATCATATCGTTGAATGGCAAAAAGTTTGCCCAAATGAAGATTGTTTATGTGTTTGGGATAGTAAGAAACAAAAAGATTACGTTAATAAATGTAGCAAAAATATTGAAAGTGATCTTTTGAATATTGAGGCTGTAATTGAATCAGAGATATTAAAATTATATAATATTAAAAACATTGCTGATTTACCAGGTTTACTTGAAGTTGCTGGAGCACTTACAGATATTTTATTTTTATTTTAGTTCTTTTTATATTTGTTTTTTTTTATATATTTATATAAATATAAATTGTTTTATATTTTTATTTAAAGTTAAAAATTAGTATATTTTTAATTATTTACTTTTCAGGAATTAACAAGATAAGTAATAGAAATAACATATGGACCAATGTGTAGAAGAAAATTTAGTCCCAAAAAATTTTTATAGTAAGTCAGGTTGTTTGAAATTACACTTGGCACATAACAAATTTTTTATAACCATTTCAAAAACAGTGATAACTTTTATTCATAGCAATAACGATGGTTCAGTCAATAATCTAATGGGTTTGATGCATATTTGTCATCATGTTTCAGTTTTACCTTTTGTATGAATTTTAATATGTGTGTATTATATATATATATATCATAGTTGATATTTTGGTTAATATTATATGTCGTAACGAAAAAAATATATCTACAAGATAAGTGTGGCATTATCACCAGAAGTTTGGTTAATCATTTACAGTTATTTAGTTGGTATCATAAAAGAAAATTTGCTATGTTGAACAGAACTATACCATCATGAATACAAGCCATCGTGTAATAAAAGAAAAAGTGAAAGATAAGCATGTATTTGTCGATAAGGATAAGGGTGGTTCTACTTATAATGGTTTTGAAATATTAAATGAAATTCATATTATGGTGAAAAGAATTCAGCCACCGTTGACTAATCCAAACTCTAAACCATTTGAAAGAAAAATGAATTGTTCAAATGAAGGACTGACTCCGTATCTGAACATAATTTGTGGTAAAACCTACCCAGATATCTTTTACAGAATCAAGATGTGATGGATAATCTAGTGGTAATGATCGGTGTGGGTATGTTAAAAGCAAAATAGAATGCCGAAAAATTGTAATGTTAGAAAACAAAGAAATGACATGCAATTAACTATCGCTATAGTTTGATTAGTTGATCTCAACATAGCTGCCGCATAAAAAATGCGCTGCAGATCCTCGATTTTGATTGGTTAACGGCCGGAATCTTCAAAAATTTGGTCCGCATTACATAATTGCTTACTAATTTCGGCCAGAATTAACTTTCTAATTTTTTCTTTACAAAAATAGAGATTTTTAAAAAATAAGCCCGCATTATAGTAAAATTGGCCCAGGAACATTAGTAAAATTATGAGTAATTCCGGCCTAATTTTTTGATCGTCGCTCTTAGCCAATCAAAATCGAGGATCTGCACCTAGGTTCAATATTTTTGAACAGTAGATCAACGGATCACACCTCATAGACAGATATTCGTCTGATTGGCTGATGTAAATCAATTGCCGGGTAACTTATTTATACAGTTTAAAGTACTTTTTGAAAACATAACGTT